AAATGCCTTTTGAAGATTTATGCTCTAAGATGTTCCGAAAGTTTGGCATTCCGTTTCCTTGCACACACGGATCTGGGTATTTATTATTATTATATATATATTTTGTTTTTGTTCCGAGTGGCGTCAGTGCACTTGATGGTTATTTTAGTGCTATGCATGTCAATGCTGGGATCCCTCAAAGAATGCAAACCGGCGGAAGTCTACTACTCAACGATGAAAACGGATTTGAATCTCTGATCAGGAGACAAGGAAATGTTTGACGAGGGATGGAACTCAAGTGCGTGTCTAGTGAGTGAGATAAAAAAATGGATATTGAGTTCTTAATGATCGAACCATTTATTTATCTAATCAGTAAATTCAAAATAAGGTATTTCGAGCTATGAATGATAACGCTTATTTGAAAATCTAATCAGTCATTTAAAAACAATGGATCTTGAGCTCTTAACGATAAGACTTTGCATATGTAATGAATAAATTCAAAAGAATGAATATTGAGTTCATCATGTACAACTTATTTGCATATATAATGAGCAAAATCAAAATATTACATAGTGAGTGAGCTGTTAATGATAAAACTAATTTCTAAGTGTAATGAGTAAATTCGAAATAATCAACATTTAGTTCTTAATTATTAAACTGGTTTGCATATCTAATGAGCAAATCCAAAAGAATGGATGGTGCATTTTTATGAGCAAACTCAATTATATTCGTAATAGTAAATTCAAAATAATACATATTGAGTTCTTAACGACCAAACTCAACTGCTTTCGAATTGAGTAAATTCAATAATGGATATCGAGTTTCACACACTCGTTAGATGTTGTTGAGTTTATATTGAGTTTCAATCGACTCTGTAAGAATACACTAGCAATGAAAGAAAGTGTCCCTAGTCCCACCTTTGTCCTTATTTTTCGGTGTTCCTCAATTAAAACTCACTGATAATTTCTGTGGGCGTCAAGGGCATGTCAAGGAACGCGTTTCGATTGCAGCAACCTGTTCGTATGGGAACGGTTAGCCCGTTCGCTAACCCCTATATAATGCTGTCTCACGACTCCCAAAATGTGTTTGGTATAATGGTCCTTTCTTTGTTTTTGTCGCCGACTTTTAGGCGCGGTTTATAAAATGAACTGCGTCTTCGAGGCGAAAACAAGTTAACTCGAGGGTTCCTGCCGAGCGTGGAAATATGACATGGTTGCTGACGTTCATTAAAAACCACGAAATAGTTTTCTTGGAATCCAATTCCTCCTTGTGGAAGCGCGCGTCATAGAAGGAACTGTTCCTCTTTTGACTTCAACCCTCGAAAGAAAACAACAAATGCTGATGTCGTCGGTTTTTTTATTTAACATTTTTCTTGTCATTGGTTGTTTTCTTCTTCTTCATTTTGCCATTTTTTTTTCATCTCGAGTTGCAGGTATTTTATTGTGCAGCATATGATTTGTACGTGCAAGTCTATGCCTCCGAGTTATTTTCCGCCTCTATGCGTACGTTTTCAAAGTTACTTCCTCGGCTTTCACATATATGTGAAACACCGTAATAAAGATTTTGCGTCCAGTACGTAGTCTTATATAAGAATACGTACTGGACGTAAAATCTTTATTACGGTCTTTCTTAAAGAAAAAAGAAAGAGAGAAAAAAAGGCGGGTCTATAAATCGAGATTAATGTTAATATTCATGATTATTATTTACAAGTTCTAAAAAGTATATAAACGCTTTTTTTCGTTTTAACGTAGTTCTTTAAGGTGCTGCTTTACTTACGACGATCCATTCCTTGTGGTTCACTCGGCGCTAAATCGTGCGGTCTGATCGCTTCACCAGTGCTTCTAAGATGATGATGCAATTAAATGCAAAGTTTCAAGCGAGCTGGACAAGAATGATGACAACAGTCGGGAAAAATGACAAACACAAATCTCCAAACACATACAAGTGATTGGTGCGCTACCGAAAAAAATCCGCACGGTCCTGGTATGAACACGGGACCTCTCCGTTACAGGTGGAGCGCTCCAACTGAGCTAACCAGGGGTTAGACATCAGTAAAGCAGACAGGTTTTACCAGCTGCCACCATGCAGTCTAATACCAACAAGGGCGAACGGCTTGCATTTGTAAGGTTATGATTATAATGGAATTATTGCAAAGCTGCAAGAGAGCTGGACAAGAATTGAATGCAAAGGTGTCAGCGAGCTTCTCCAGCTCGCCTGCACTTGTGCATTTAATTGCATTACCATCGTAACCTTAAAAATGCAGGCCGTTCACCCTCGTTGGTGTTAGACTGGTGGCAGCTGATAAAACCCGTTTGCTCTACTGACGTCTAACCCCTGGTTCGCTCAGTTGGTAGAGCACTCCACTGGAACTAGAGAGGTCCCTAGTTCGATACCAGGACCAGGCGGATTTTTCCGTGTCGCACAGTCACCCAGCTGTGTTCAAGGATTTGTGTTTGTCCTTTATCCCCGCTGTTCCCTTTCTCCAGAGATTATTTGCGTCAGTGCTTCTAGAACGCGCAATTTTCTGAAACAAACGGCACCGTTAAATTTTGCATCGATGAAACTGCAATTATACAACCCCCTTCAATTTTTTTTTTTATTTACTTCAGAACTGCGAGGAATGTGCATTTTCGTGATTAAGTTTGTTTCGGATATTAATATATTGAATGAATTAACGAGGTATTTCGAAGATAAATGCGCTGTAGCGGCCTCATTTTCCCCCTTTATAGATGCAATATTGAGCTTATTTTAGTAAATAGCCTTTCTGGACAGCGGGCGATTTTCAGGGCCACAGTCTTCACGAAACCTTTTGTAGTATACATATATATATATTTTTTTTCATTTCGTATAGCTTTGACACTGAGACCTCCTAACATTTATTTTATATTAAAAATGGCCAACGCAAGCTTAACAAAGGGCGAAAAAGTCGTCCCAAATAGTTAAAAAAAAAAGGCAATAGTTAAAGCAGCGCGTGCATTGCTATATAGCCCTATATCATGATCAACATTGAATCAATGGACACCCGACGCTGGGGGAAAGAAACTGACGCATCGTGTACCTTTAGGAAGCACCGTATGAATATGTGAAACCCATGGGATGTATTTTCACGATGAGCACAGACGCAGCTCTTCGTGACAACAACAACACCGTGAACGATACTTTGCTAAAAATTTAAAAAAAAAAGTTCGTAACAACCAGGATCTGAACACGCAGGTATGCCCTATAATTAAAAAAGCGCGTCTCAAAAATGATTTTACGTAAGTAATGAACGATACAATTGAATTGTTGATGCGGTATTTATATAGGGCGTGTATCTGTCGAAAGATCTGAACAATAATAGGATAAGGAACCTCGATGTTTGCCGGCGATCTTGGCACATTAATACAGTGCCTGCGCAATGTCTGATGTAACCGTCCCATGATTTGGTGTCTTTACTCGTAATAAACTATCGTACACACGACGACTAGTAGCCCCCGATTAACGTTGTAAACACCCCGGTGTGACGCAATCTACACATTATATAAAAAGCCCCAACGCAGCGCCGATTTTATCTGGGGCGCCACAAATGTCGCCTTCCCCCTATAATACATTAACAATCAGCAAACACTGAGCACAACGCCCTAAATAATTTTTAAAAAATTTATATCACGATAAATTAATTTGTTTCGAGAGAAGTTAACAAAATTCGAAGACACTCTGGAAACAAGTAATTGTGACGTCATTCTCCTGTATCGCAATAAATTGCGATATAACTAGGTCAATTAAACACGCTGCAGTACTAGATGAGTTTGTGCACACAAACGTGTTCGCTTTTTCCATTTTATTGCCAGATATTTATTTTAATATTTCACCTATTTAATGAAACACTTCCATGACCAACATTAACAATGCTTGTGGCAGCTTTTTTTTTCTTTTTTTTTTATAAGAAGTGTTTGCGTCTACGTTCTACGGGCATTTGATTTAGACGCCATTAATAGTGAATATATCCACGCCGTGAATAAGTGCACAATACTACGAGGTTTACCGCTGCGCGTATGTTCAATATCTGTGTAAAGATACACGTGAATTAAGCCAATTCGAGTTAGTGTCAGATGAACCGTAGTTAGCTTGAGCTTTCTGCAATTCGGTTAAGCAGCGCTGGGCGTGGCCAGCATCTCATTATGGCTCAACAGTCAATCAATGTGTGGCACTGACCGCTACGAACGCCACAGAACCAATCACAAAGCGAGGAGTGCGAGCATAATTGTGGAACGCACGAATGTGTACGCTCCCAGTATTCAATGCCCGTTGTCTATACACGCGGCAGTGTGCAAACCAACTTCTTATACGCGAAGTGGACGGGCGGTTTAGTTACATAAACAGGCGACGCACCTGTCGCTCAGTTAACGTTTTACGCGCATACTGTTTGTGTACATTCAAGTGACTTTGTACTCATGCGCCATGCATCTTAACGTAACGACCCTTCGACTAAAGGAGGACAACCAAAAAAAGCGCTGTTTTGGTTGTAAGGCATCAACAACGAGCGTCGATATTTTGGTGCAGCCCATTGGCGAGAAATTTCCGCACCCAAATATATCACGTACGAGTTGTACGAGTCTCACTGGAACTCGCTGGTATAGCACGAGTAGAGAGATCGTTCTCTATGGCGCGAGCTTTTTAAGTTGGAAAACAGCTATCGTGAGCCTCTAGCACGCACGAGGATGCCGAAGCACTCTGGCGAGCGCGAGCTGGAACGTCCGACAGACACGCCCTGGCGTTCTCGCTCTGTAAGACGGACCGTGAGTCAGGCTTGACACGCTCGAGACAGGCGAAAGGTTTTTTTTTTGTGTTCGGAATACCCTCTTGCCTTCGGGATACGAAGTTTCGTATTTATAATCATAATCATAATCTTTGTCCAAAAACAGCGAGGGGCCTCAACATCCTGTACGAACATGTCTGCAGGCAGTTGTTGCATGACCTCTACGAGGAAGAAACAAGCCGCAGACTGCATCATGTGAGCGCGACTCAAGGCAGGCACTCACTTTTGGACTTGTGAGAGGCAGCAGACGACGTCCTCGAAGCACCGGTAACGTGCTGCTGCTGCGATCCATGCTGCTGGTGCCCCGACGGCGCCACCGACGTCATCCTGTGGTGTCCGAGCACGCTCCTAGAACCCACCAGGGCCGCGTGGCCGGGACTAGAGGCCACCACGAGCCCGAGCGGTCCGTGGTGGGCCGGGTGGTGCGAGCCGTGCAAGATGCCCTCGATGGAGTACGGCACGTGCGGGTGGTGCGGAGAGTACGCCGGCACCGAGTACGGGGCGATGGGCGTCCCGAACGGCGAGTACGGCCCGGGCAGCGGTCGCCCCAGGCGCCCCAGGCAGCCGGCGTCCAGGAGGCGGGTGGCCTCCATCGGAGACGCGGCCGACAGTCAGAGACCGCGAAGAAGACGGGGACAGTTGTCTCCGAGAGATGCCATCGGTGGTCCGCCTCTGCCGTCCAAGAAGCAGGCACGCAGCAGTTGCTGAACGACTACGGTGCACAATGAATTGCAGTTTTATACACCAGGGATTGTAGTTATCGTTCACGAGTGCGGCTTAGAATATTCCACGATGACTTCAACGGGTCCCGGAGCCTTTGAGAGGTTACGATGAGCTCAACAGATCTTTGCAGCCTTTTGATTTGCTCCAACTCAGGCAGAGGCTGAAGGGTTGCTGTTACTTCACCGCACAAAAAGATGGCCCTCCAGGTCACCTTCCGCGAACCGCAGTTTCAGTTTAGATCTTTCTACGACGACCTCGAGGATCCTTGGAACCTTCTAGAGACCGGGATGAGTTCTACAGATCTTCGCGGTCCTTTGATGGCTGCGACTCGGTCCGACGCTGAAGGGTTATTGCTGAGCAGCAGCGGTATACGAAGTGATGACTCTCTATTTTTCAAAACCGTGACTCTGCGACCGTCCTGTGATAGTCTTGGCAGATCTGGAGCATGTCAGCCTTCTGTGCCTTCGGTGTTGATGTTCAACGTTCGGTGCTGAATGGGACACTGTTCTGTAGACGTATGAAGCTGGAAGATTTCAGCATATTTTGCTCGTCTCGGGTCGCTGATGGTCGGATGCAGATGGCACAACGCCGGGCACGCGCAGCAGACGACACCGCACGAACATAGCAGACCACACGGCTGAAGGGGGAGCCAGTTTTGCGGACGATCGGCGACGGGACGCTTACGAAACTTTCGTCGCCTCTCGGAAAATCCGGCACCAACGAAAGAAATCGAAGCTGGGGGAGCACGTCGGAAGCCTTTAGGGTAAATTTACGACGCACTTCGCGAGTCTTAGCTTAAAGCGCGAACATGACACGGCACTTTTTATCTCCGCAGCGCGCACTCGACGAATAATAGAAAACAAACAATCAGAAATAATCGAGCGGTCGCTTCGCAGACGAACATCCGGGCTCGCCGTCGAGCGCCGTCTGCTCAGAACCTCCTTCGAACGACCTGCACGAGTGGGCGTTCCTGCTCAGCGAGAGGCGGGGCCTGCTATTCCGACCAATGACGCGGCGCGTTTCGAGCCAATGGGAGGGGAGGGTCACGCCCCCGAGGCGCGTTTTTCCCGCCGAAACACCTCCTCTCCACGTGCGGCATCGGAAAACGGCGCGGAGAAACCATGTGGTGGCGCGAGCGCGGGAAAAAAGAGAGCAACTAAAATGAAGTGTTTACAGGACGGTGCTTGTGCGGCACGACTAAGGTATTTTGGACATTTTTTATTTTTATTTTTTTTTTATCGTTACACGCGATGTCTTTTGTTTTTCTTATGGGAAGTGAAATAGGACCCGGAAACCCGACTAATTTAATGTCGCCGTCCCTCGAGACCGAAATTAATTATTTTTGATTAGAATATGTGAATTAGTTCTTATTTTTTTCTATTCCGGTAGTGGAACGTAGGGTTTCTTCCTTTCTTTTTGATCGCAGCATTTGTTTACGGCAAGAAGATAATGAAAGAAAATGGAAGCTTATTGTTTTGAGGTTTTAATCGAAATCGACGTATTTTTGCGTGACCAACACGAATTTGGGGAGATTCCATTTCATCCGGAAAATGGGATTTCGTCCTCGACATCTTTGTGCCTCAATTTCAAACATGTGATATCTCACCAATGAAGCTGGATCAATCATAAAGAGTTTACTAGGAAGACAGATAATCAATTTTCGCCTCCGTAATTTATTTCTCGACAGTCACGTTCTAGAAAGCAGATTTTAATTTTATGTAAAACACGAACATTGCCACATGAAATTGGTACGTTACTGCGCCCGTCTTTTTCGCTATATATACGATAAAATAAAACAAATGGAAATTTTGTTAAACCTAGATTTGTAGCCAGATCCTACATTATCATTGAAGAAAAAAGAATATTTTTAGAATTAATAACAAAGAAAAAAATCCTCACACCAGGGGCGTTCCGAGGATTTTATTGGAAAGGGGGAGGCAGCGGAAATTTGTCCTCTCTCCATAAAGTACTTTAATTTTTTTTTCTCAATTCTTTTGTCTTTGTTGGGTTTATCTAAACTCCTTATAATTATAATAACGATATCATACTTTTTCTAGAACGTCAGATGGAAAAGATGAGCCAGGGAATTCATTAAACGAATATCATTTTAGTGTTTTATTCATTTCTTACTTCCGTTAACAGAAGTCAGCACAGTTACCAGAAAACACGGGAGTACAAATTTAAAACACGATAGACATTAAAATGCAGATTTGAAACATATACAAAAACCTCCGGTCATCTGCGCTATATCTATCATAACAAACCGGTGCCATACCGTAGCAAAACAAACTAGCTTTCTTAACAAGTACAGCATAAAGTACATTGAAACAAGTGAGTGTATCTGTTTCACAAGAGAAAGTCAAGACGACGGCAGTGCACCTGATTAACCGCGACAGTCACATCTTGACACGAGAAGAGCAAGTCCTACCATACAAATATGTTTTATGGTCGGCTAGAGAAATTTTTTTGCATGGTCGGCTTTAGCTATTTGGCCCAATTTGCTAAAGAAATTTCTACGGCGTTTTCACCAATTTTTATGGTCGTCTTTATGGGCCTCTTTAGCTTTTTTTATGGCCCTGACACTGTCCAGTCGTGGCGCTTTAGCTTTTCTAACGGCTGGCTCTCTATAGCCAGCATGCTATAGCTGCCTGTGACTTTTTCTTTTGTGTCTCTAGCCATTTGTATGGTCTGCTATAGAGAAGGCTGTATGGGTTTTCCAATGGCTCTCTTTACCCAGCACACCCTAAAAAAAATATATTTTCAAGTTCCCTCGACCTTTCAACGCTACATGGTAGATACACATACATCACTGAACACACAAAATACACTGAACACAGGCAGAGCAACCCCCACATAACATTAACAACGCAGGGACACCGAACCCCCACCCCTCCCTACGTACGCTAAGTTCGCACTCTCTCTATATGTCAATCTTATTTTTGAATCCGACTCGGCCGGTGACTGCCGCCATTTGTCGCAGAAACACGGAGAGGCGGGGCAAATATTACTCGTACTTAATACATTATTTGAATTGTATCTTGGAATAGCCCCCATCTCTTAATTCAACACCATGAAAAAAGCAAATGTAGATCATTAGGCTAATTAAGTAAAATTTAATAATTTTAATTTTAATGAGTTTGTTGAATCATGTTGACAATGGAGTACACTGTTGCTAAAGATTGCAACCAAGCTATTGTTCGATTGCAATGTTCGGTGCCAGTGTAATCGGTTTTCACTTTTGGGGGTAATAATTAATTTTAATTGCTGCCCAAGTATTTCAATAAATTTTTCAAACAAACATTATTACTGGTTTTCACAACTCGTTGCAACAACAGAGAACATATCTTGGGTCATGCTTTGTCACTGACTGGTATTACAGAAATTTAGTATTGCTTTAATTTTCTAACCTGGAGCGTTTTTCCTAAAAATGTAAATGCCGGTAGTGATTTTTAATAGGCGTGTAAAGAAAATTTATTGGTTCCTAGTCTCTAGACTCGTGGCTGTGTATAGAATTTTCTATAGACGCTTTGCAGCAGTTGTGCATGCACTCTAAGAAAAAAGGGAACGTGACTTGCTCCATTGGTCCCTTAGGGGAGCAACGGTGACGGGAGCAACCCTGGCTCCCCTACCGTTAGTCCCTCAAAGTTGAACCCCCAGGAGTAACTTTTGCACCCTTGCATTTAGGCCCCTGGGACGAAATGTTGCGCCCTTACCTTATTTTGTTGCAAATTGCGCCCTTACACACCCAGGTGGCGCTAGTCAACGTCAAATTCAAAGTTGGTAAAAAAATATGGTATCGCTGGAGTAGATATCTTCCGCGCTCATTAAATTTACATACGAACAACGCTTATTTCACATTTGCGCACGTTATATACACTTCAACATAGACAAGGACTTAGAACACAGATGACATACACAACACACGCACAACATACACGCGACGACACGCTATTCCAATCGCCACCCCAAAGCCTACCCATGCGCCTTTTATACTGATCATACGAGAGGAGTCGTTTTCTCAATGACCATCTCAACCGTGAGCGACGTTACAAATATGGTGCTGCTTTCGCACCAGTATTGTTTTCCAGTATTGTTGCTAAACTTTCCAAGGAGTGTATCTCTTACTAAGTAGTAACGTTACACACCGTAATTATTTGTGACAGTCTATAAAACAGCGTCCCCATAGGCTCCCGGCAGCCATGTTCTCGCTTTCCCACATAGACTGCACTACTTTGCGCATGCGCGTCTCCGTGGCAACCGCATCGTCTCTTGCGAAAAAAAAAAGTGTAAAGAATACAATTAGAAAAGAAACCAGAATTGATCTTTTTTGTCTTTGAAAACGTTTTTACCACGTGCTAAGTGGTAAAATATTTTTCTACGTTCCAGTTAAATCAAAAAGAAACTATAAACGCTTTCAGAGCACGTTCAAAAGTATGCAAAGAGAAGGACGCCAGGACAGTGTTCAAAAGTCGCATGGCCAGTGCATCAACAATGGCTCACTCTTAAAAAAAGGGTATTGTAGTACCCTCCTTAAGGGGGTAACCGAGCTGCACACAGGGCAACCCCTTTTGGAGGGAACGTTACCCCTGCAACGAGGATGCAAACTTACCTCCTCGGTTAGGGTGCAACATTGCCTCCTTTTGGAGGTAACCTCAGTTCATTTTGGTGTTAAAAGTGCATCCTTTCAGGGTCAGCCTTTACCTCCTTTAGGGGGTAATTTCAACCCTTTTGAGAGGTAAGACGACGTAATTGAGGGCGCTGCTTTTACCTCCTTTTGGAGGGAACTATGATCCACTTTGGGGTTAAATGTGCACGACGAGGAAAACTGCTCAGAAAACGCGCACTACGAGGAACAAACACGACAGGGCAGTGCTGTCCAGTCGTGTTT